TCTATATATTTTATAGGTTACTACTTCAACCCAAAATTTTTCTATTTGACACCTGAACATCCCTACAAGATTATGGAAGGAGTCAGATACATTATTGCAAGGTTGGAGAGAAGCCAGCGAAACCAAGTAGCAGCAATACAAGAGGTATTATTTAATGTTTGGGTAAGAGCTATATTGAGTTGTTATATTTGTGAGGAATAATGCACTAAAACGAAATATATATTTTTTAGCTTGCTATGTATAGGGATGCTATACGATCCTTTCGAACTAGACTTGCCAGGAACTCTCGAACTAAGATGGATCCAGGTTATCCCTTAGCTAATATTTTGTTCATTCATATATTTAATCTTATGAATTGTTCTTACCCTTACAATGCTTTTTGCATTTTAATACAGCTAAATGGTGGGAGATATATAGTACTGATGCACCTCACCTAAAGAGGATAGCAATCAAGGTGCTCTCCCAGACATGTTCTGCTACTGGCTGTGAGCGCAACTGGAGTACGTTCCAATGGTTGCACACTACTAGAAAAAATCGACTCGCTACGGAGAAACTTCATAAACTAGTCTACGTTTATTACAACTTAAACCTCCGAGAGCAACAAATAAGAAGGAAGCTTGAAGACTATGGGCCGATAGATTTAGACACAATATTTGTCACAGACACAGCAGAGCAATGGGTAGTAGAAGAGGAGGAGCCAGTGTTGCACAAGATAGCGTTCCTTGAGGCGATCGGTGAGGAAGATCTTGAAGAAGGTGATGAGTAGCATGAAAGATGAAGCAATTAGCCAACGTATCCACAAATCGTCGGAGATGTCGATGATATTGCACCTATTGAGGGAGAGTCGGAAGGGGGTCTAAGGGAAAATGAGAGAGATGATGATTCCGAGGCCACCCTATCCGAGCCATATTATTCACATATCGAGTCTCAACAGCAATAGGGTAGGGATGAGCACGATAATGTAGGTGAGCATGAAGGATGGACAAGCTTCGGGGATTTTGGATTGGGAACGCAACAGAACACTAACACTTAGGGATTTGGATATAGTCAGACACCTGCTAATATTGATGATTCGTTTTTAGATCGAATCAATGAATTGTCAAACGAATTCAATCAATGGCACCAGCGTGACCAAGAAGAAGAATGACGTCGTCTATCATTTTATTGTTAGATCATATGTTAATAATTGTATGCTTTATTGTAGTCCATGTATGTTGATATACTTATTCCATGATAATTCTATGTTTATCCTTTTGTGTGACGTACATTAAATGGTAAATAGTAGTTCATGCAGGGAAAGAACATATCAATATTCGCATATTCATGCAAAGAAATGAAATATCTTAATGGAGTACCCTCATTTTTTATTGAATTCCTAAAAAACAATATTTATAATAAATTTTAATAAATTTTTCGGATTTTTTTGAAGCTTTAATCTGACCGATTCACTTGATTCCCAATCCGGATCGCCGATTCGCCAATCCGGATCGATTTTGAGGTGCCCGATCCGGGTCACCGATCCGCTTTTTAAACCATTGCATAGAATGCATTTGGCCTTTTTATTACCAAAAATATTTTTTATTTTTTATTAGGTGTGTCCAATGAGAAAGGGGGATGCCACTAATTTGATCTCAAAATAATTTGCAAAAAAGTATTGAAGTTCAAATTCTCTAAGCAATCCAATCAACAAGAGGCGATCAGAAGCTAACTTGTGACATTATGACAAAAGCTATATCTGCTGTCCATTTAAATCAAATGACTAAAAATTGTTGTCACATATATTTTATATATGTGTGGAACCAAAGTTCAAAAATTAAACCCGTCTTAAATCTCAAATTTATCCCTTTTGAGTTAGAAAAAAAAAAAACCAAGGTTTCCCTTTTAAAATGGTTACAATTTTATTGTCTTGCTACAATCGTAATTTTTTTGATGAAAAAGTTTCTATTTTTATATAAAATGTCAACCTTATGCTATAGAAGAGCAAAATTGTCTACTGTAATCATAATTTTTCTGAGGAAAAAGTTTATAAATTTATAAAAAATGTCAACCTTATGCTATAGAAGAGCACCTCGGTAACCCATCACAAAATTACTGGAAAACCTTAGTGATATCAAGATGTAGGGATATGAGAAAAGGTTATCAAGTTTTAGAAATAGTGCATCTTATGATATATATTCAATTTATATAGATTTAATCAATCTGCATAACTTTTTTAAGCCTCAAATTCTATAAGTAGGGGTAAACATGGATTTTCAGGCTATTATAAGAGCTTGATTGTTTAAAGCAAGCACCTTATCCAAATGGCATCATTTCCATTATTATTATTTTTTGACAATATCCAAAACTTTATTAATGAAAGAAGGTTACAACAAGGAAACTACATCTTTAGAGATAACAATCGACGATAAAGCCGAACTCCTTCTTGGCAAGAGAATCATCTATATCATTAGCCTCTTTGCAGACATGATGAAAAGAAACAATCAAGCAACCCACCAAATCTAGAACTTGAAGCCAAATTGATCACAATGCCGAGGGACAAATTGCTCCTTATTAAACCATTTTATTACATTCAAAGAATCTCCCTCCACATAGTAAAGATTCCCAACACTTTCTTTAAAGATCTTTAAACCATGAAGGAGTTGAGAATTGTGTGAAATTGGCAGTTGATCCCACATGGATCAGCATAAGCAAAATTACCTCACCATTCCAATCTCTCACAATCCCCCTAAAGCCAAGCCAGCTTAACCGGATTACCAAAAGAACTCCCGTGAACATTAAGCTTCAAACAACCTTGCATTGGGGGCAGCCATCTATACTCAGGGCGACATTTCGCCACTCCCATATTGAAAGGGTTAGACAAGTTGAGCAAAAGATCCAATTTTGAAAATACCCCATCCCTCTTTGTTATCTGATAGCCAGCACCACAAAGTGTGCTTAATATTTGCTAAGAACTCTGTCAAAGGACAAACCATGGCACGATGGTTTCAATCCTTCCAAACTTCCCACAATACAGCTTCTCTAAGAATTTTCCAAGTCACACTCCCAAACTTCGGCAAATGGGGAATTTTCCAAGTCACACTCCCAAACTTAGGCAAATGGGGAAAGCCTACCTGAATGACTGCATGTACATCATTCCGGGGCATGGCAATCCTCACTTCCAACTGTTGAAGGTACCAACTCCAAGTACTTAAAACAAAGGAATAATGAAGAAAAAGGTGAGCACCAAAGTCTCCATCATTCACGTGGTAGAATCTTACCAAGGTAAAATCTTTCTCTTGCACCGCCAACCAAATTAAAACATGACATGAATCTTGTAGGGAATATGTCATTTTCAAATTTGAGAAACCATTTGTCATGGAAAAGTAATATCTATACACAAATCTCACCGAAAACTAACGATCGCTCTCCACATCCCACACTAAATCATCTTCCACATCTTGCGGGATGTAAACTTCTTCCAACTCCTGCATATGCCTAGAGTACTGATTAAATAAACCATCATGAAATCTATTATAAGGAAAGTTCATACTCCGCCTTTCGGTGCTTAATAATATTTTTTTGATATTTTCCTCAAACTTTTAGATCAAAACCAAACTAATGCAGATTTTTGTTGCCCCAAATTTATTGGAGTGTTAAATTTCTTTACTAAGGAACTACTCTTGCGCCATACACGTACATAAACGTAGTCGGAGCTTTCTATTTGCATATCCACATAGAACAAACGTGTCATTTGGAAAAGATTCCCTTTTGGAAAAGTATATTAGTATCAGAAGATCACAATCATTTTTATCTATTAAATTTGATATTGAGTAATTGTAACAGTGCCATTGATGAAACTCAAAATTCAAAAAAAACTTCTAAAACTTCGTCACATATCCCAATTTGATATCTAATAGCTAGGGCAACTATGATCCTCCTTGTAACAAAGATAAAGCAAAATATAGAATGAGACCATTTACCTATGGTACAAAGTGGTCAAATTAAACTTGACCATTGGATGTAAGATTGGGTGGCTGCAATTATTATATTGATCAAGCTTAAATTTCAAAAGAAATTTTCTCAAACTTTATGACACATCAAAGATATCAAATTTCACATTGGATGGTTGTAAATAATTGTGATCACCTTGTATTAAAGATAAATGGTTTCATATTATACAATCCCTAAAAATAAATGGTCTCGTAGTATATAGTACCAAAAGTAAATATACCTTTTTGTGTATTACTATTGCATTCAAGAAAAAGGACATTTAAAAATAAGATAAATAGAATAAAGATTCACTTTCAAGAGACAGATGCATGAATAAAACAAATGTTCAAATAATATATCAAATGCTTTGAACCCAGTGTTCAAAACCTGGCTGGGCCGAACCTGAACTGGCGGGGCTACTCGGCCACTAGCCTTGGCCGGTTTGGGCGGTCAACCGGCTTGACCACATTTAGAACTTCAATTGATGAGGGAAGTTCATTGCATTGCCTAAAACAAGAACCAATCTGATAAAATTTATTAAATGTCATTAACAAGCTCACTGTGACTCCCACTTCTCTCTCAGTTGATGTGGGCGTCTAAATGCATAAGTGAAAACCAAACTCCCATTCAATCTCCTCAACACATACCTCTCCACCAACACATACAAACCAAACTTCCAAATTCCCTCACTTTCACTCTTAAACACCTTTCTCACGCTAACTTCCTTCCCATCTCCTTCTCTCTCTACAATTGCTTGGTCCCATCTCATCTTCTCCATCACAACTTCATTCAACCCAACACCCACTAACCCTCCTTCAAGACCCATCCTCTCTCTAGCTTCAAACCATACAATCCCCCCCTCATTCGCCCTTCTCTCTTGAACCCCTTCCTTCCCATTGAGTAAGGCTTCTTCCTTTCTCACACATCTGTCAACCCCCACCTCTTCCCTTCCAAAACCTTCACAACAGTAAATCTCTTCCCATTGTTGCTCCAAACTTACCCTATAATACATGCTCTGTTTCATTTTATCAACTGGTTTTTCGAGCCCTCCTCTCTCCTCTATGAAGATCGAAGGACAATACCAATGCCCTAAAACTATAGGGTAAGAGCCCTTTTGGGAGATCGGGAATTCGAATGGAGGGACTTCGGCACGAAGTGATGCATCCATTCCATGAGCTTCTTCTAAGTTCAGAGCTTTTGATTCTGAAATATATGCTTTCCATTCTTTCCTTCTGAGGAACTGTGGGGGGTAACCATCTGGCGCCAAGGATTTGGCTCTAAAACGTTTATCATTTTTCTTCTTGGTGTATACATGCATCCTTTGATATATGTTATTGTGATTGAAGGGCATGGGCTTCTTGTCATTTACAAATAGAAATAAGGTCTTGTCTTCCTCCCGGGAACAAGTGCACACCAGGCTGCCAAAAGGTTGAAAGTAGGAATGGAATCAAAACCAATACATATAAATGGGTACACAATGAATTTGATTTTTAAAA